ATTCCCATGAACGACTTATGTACTTTTGACAATCTAAAAAACGGCGGACTTAATCTATTCTTATGTCTAGTTTCATAATTGTGTCTGTCAGACACTTTACTAAATAAATGTAGGTTTTTCCTAACATACATAATATTTTCATAAATAAATTGACATGGAACGGTCATAATATTGATCTCCCTAAACCTTTCTCTGAGAGATTCGCGACGACCTAGGTTGTATATAGCTCTGACGGCGCGCTTCTGCAAGACAAAGATAGACTCAATGTCAGCAGCGTGTCCCCACAGCAGAATGCCATACGACATGATGCTATGGAAGTAACTAAAGTACACCAGTCTTGCCGTGTCTATATCGGTTAACTGACGGATTTTCCAGACAGCATAAGCTGCAGAGCTTAATCGTCCCGCTAGAGATGTAATATGAGGACCCCATTGTAATTTGTCGTCTACAGTAATTCCCAGGAAAATAGTCTCTTTTACAAATTCCAATTTCTCACTATTCAGTAATATGTCACATTCGTTATTTTTAACGTTTGGCAAAACAAATCTAATGCATTTTGTCTTTTTATCATTCAGCACTAAATTATTTATTGTAAACCAGTTTTGAACCTTCATCAGAGCACTATTTACATCGTCGTAATTATTTGTACGTCTATTTATTTTAAAAACCAGTGATGTGTCATCAGCAAATAATACCATCTGTGGTTCATTCCGGAATAAATGCGGCAAGTCATTTATATAAGCCAAAAATAGGAAAGGGCCTAGTATTGAGCCCTGCGGTACACCCATAGATATGCTAGCACCCTGTGAGTTTACCTTATTTACTTGCACCTTAAGTTGCCTATCCCGAAGGTATGACTTTAATAGATTTAGCGATACCCCTCTAATGCCGTAGTGTTCCAGCTTCAGCAAAAGCGTTTCGTGCTCAACACAGTCAAATGCCTTCGAAAGATCACAGAATATTCCAATTGCATCCTGTGCTTCTTCCCATGAGGCAACAACACGTTTTATCAAAGCTACTCCTGCGTCAGTAGTGCAGCGTCCCCTGGTGAACCCGTATTGTTGATCATGAAAGATAGAATTCGTGTTAAAGTGGCGCAGCATCTGAACAAGCATCAGTCTCTCAAACACTTTACTAAGCACTGGCAAAATAGAAACCGGCCTATAGTTATTAGGTTCCGCGCTATCACCGGATTTAAACAATGGAACTACTTTACTGTGCTTCATCAAATCCGGAAAAACCCCTTGATCTATGCTTTTATTAAAAATGAAAGCTAAATGAGGCGCTATAGTCTCTATAAAAGCCCTACACACCCTAACCGACATTCCCCAGAGATCTTCAGTCGACTTAACTTTGATATCTTTAAACGCTTTAATGACTGCTTGGGGGTTTGTGTACTGAAACCGAAAAACAGAAGGGCATTCTTTAACATTACTTTTAAGAAGCTCCACTGTATTTTTTTTATACCACTACGGTGGCAAAAAAGCAGACGGCCCACGTGATGGTAAGCGGTATGTGGGCTTTTTATCTCTGTTCTCCTGCGAGTTGGCTAAAAGTTCTCCTTCAAATTACATATATGTCAACACTGTTGGTTCAACGTCCAATACGCCCAAATGATCCTTTATAGTAGGTATTTACATCAGACGAGATGGTGACCAAACGTCGACCTATCAAGTTTTAAAAAAGGTGAAAAAAATGCCACTTACTAATTTCGAATAGCAATATGTTACATTTCATAAACTGTTATTCCTTGCTATTCGTAGTTAGTAAGGCAGAATTTTTATTATACACGTGAGCTGATTCGACCGGATTGATATGCCACCGCGGTCTCACCGAAAACCCACGTGAAACAACGCAAACGTTGTGAGCAGCCGTGCGAGTGCGGTTATCAGAGACCTTTTCCTTCTCCCATCCTCAATCCCCAGAAGGCAAAACGCACTTATAACTCCTTTGGTGTTGCGGGTCTCCATGGGCGGCACCGATTTCTTATCTTCAAGTGATCCATCTGCTCGTTTGCGACCTATCCTATTAAGAAGCAGACGTAGTTTAAAATCAATATATAAGTAATTGTAGACTAGTTTGTCTAATGGGTTGCCACATTTGTGGTTCAATTAATGAATACTTCAGTTAGAATCGTGTCACCCGTCGTGATAACATTCCTTCTACAGCAATATATAGACTTACCGTAGACGGGGCAATGTCTACTGGACATCTCAAACTAAACAGGTAAACATCAATTCCTTTGCGTAGTGTGTAGAGGTACCTACATGGCTACGTACTATGTGTTGCCGCGGCAGAGTTGGTAAAAAGAGTGCATCTACTCTTGGTCTAATTATAAAACTGTTCCGTGTTTGTTGACAGGTGACAATGGTGTCCAAATATTTTCTGCTCTTTTTAATTCCGGCGCTCGTGGAATGTCGGATATCAGTGAAAATAACAGCAGCTACCTCTGAAGCGGAGGCGGAAGTGGAGTACAGCGGCGAGAATGTGGAGATCATCAGCGACCGCGAGCGAGAGACCTTCGACATCGGCGACCGCAGCCTCAAGCGAGCTGTCGAGAAGTTTGCAGACGCGGCGCCCACCGACGTGTACGTGAGGAGCCCCACGCCGTGGAACGATGTCTACAAGACTTACAAATGGGAACAAGTAAAGAGGATCCTCAAACCTATCAGAACGAGGATCTTGGGAGTGCATACCAAGCCTGTGATCGTGGCCACGCGAGAGTTCGAGAACCACAGCGGAGTCAAAGCTAAATATAACGCCGCCATCAAACAGGAGATCCAGGAGACCGTCTCTAACACATGGTCAGTCGGCGGAGAGCTGACAGTGGGCCAGGAGATCGAGTACAGCGTCAACTTCGCTGCGGGCAGCGCCGGGGGCAAGACGAGTCTGTCGTACGCGGCCAGCTGGGGGAACGACACCACCAAGGAGAAGTCTGCGACGCTGGGCTCGTCCACCGGGGTCGAGGTAGAGCTAGAGCCTGGGCAGGCTGTGGTGGCCAGTCTGACAGCGACGCAGGGCACGCTGGACCTGGAGGTGGAGTACGAGGCGCGCCTGGAGGGCGTCGTGTTCGCCAACTACCGCAACAAGTACCGCGACCACTACTTCTGGGCCTTCCCCGTCAGCTCCGTGCAGCTGGCCGGCGGCCTGCCGCGGACTGTCAGCTCTACTGAGAAGATTTCCATCGGCTTCTACACGAGCGCGCGCGTCGATATCAAGGACAAAGTCACCACGGGCCGCATCAAGCAAGCCCCGGCAGGCTTCGTCTAACTCTCACTCTTTCAATAAATAAGATGAAGCCATGTTTGCAACTTCACATCATGCTTTCACGAGTAGATACGAGGAATCTTCTCAGTTCTCGCGATTTTATTTGCTCACCAGATGGCGCCAATCTAGGAATAGGTCAGTTTGTCCAATCTCTTACAAAATTGTACGTCTGATGATGTGACATTACGTAATTTCCGATTAGACGAAAGACGACAACAAAGAGGGGAAGACGACAATTCGACACCATTGCCATCTAGTAATCATCGGTAGCCCTCCCTCGCCCGCCGCGATACTAAATTAAAACAAAATTTGTCGCCCGAATACTGAAAGGCTACTCAATTTTAAGTCGTATTTAAATATCGTGCCGTCTCTGTCATTTTACAAACCGTTTGTAGAGACAGAACTATAAGCGAGACTTGAATAGAGAGGCGTTGTGTTTTTGGACATGAGTAATATTCATGATCTTTGGAACAACAACAAAATAAAATTCGTGAAGACTTGTTTTATCAAATTTTATTTAAGCTTTTGAGCTTCCATTTACAAGAATTAAGTATTAACCATTATCAATTTGTTCATAGTCAAATAAATAAAGTACACAAGTATTACAACGGTACAAATGTTTGAACACGAGTTGTCACGAGGAACTGTCGGCTGCGACATGGCGGACCGCGCGACCCCGGTCTATACTCGCGTAATATATTTATATTACTGCTAACACTATCTAATTATAATACGGAGTTCCGCAATCCGCAATGTCGTAGTTTTGGAAACTTTTGCCTATAAAGATATTTTCACACTTTATATCAGGGGCGAAGTACGCGCTTACCAATTAAAACGACAACTATTCGAGAACTATATTTTGTAGTTCCATTTTGCAACATTTGCGTCACATGGCGATTCCACTAGTCTAGCTCCTTATCATTCATTTATTAAATACATTTTCTTACATTTTTATTGCTCTTGCAAATTGAATTTATACGATATACAATATAAAGGAATACTAAAACTGATTCGACCACTCTTCGTGGCCGGCACAGGAACAATAATAAATAAGCTATAACAACTACTTATATTAATTAAGGCTAACAGGCGTCCGCCGCATTGGAGGTAATTATACATACATTGTAAGTCTAACTCGTAGCTTCCACACCGACACAGCCCGAGTGTCCCCATTGTATGCAATATTACTGAAACACTATTACTCGTGCAGTGAATGTGTTGGTGGTAGTCACCAAATGAAAGTGGACGGAAAATGAAACAATAGGCTTCGACTATGACGGGTATTATTGGATTTGTATGTTACCCTTGACTGCGCGCCATGCAGGGGGACTTGTAACGAAATACAAACAGAGGACACTCCGCGTGTCATTGATCCATCAGATCAAAAATATTGAGTGTAAGTCATTGCGAGTATTCAACAGAGAAGGGTTCGCGGACACTCATGTGTTATATCGTCACACTCAACATTTTCGAGGTACAGGCTGTACACGTGCGCTACTATATGTCGACGATGGCGATCCGACCGTTTCATAATCATGTAATATAAAATAAAACGCAACAACATCGTTACACAAGTAAAACAATACGAGTCAGTAAGTAACACAGGCCGCGATCATATCAGTCCGTGGCGCTTCTTGTACTCGTCCAGGTTGAGCGAGCGGCGCGGGCCGACGTCCTTGGCCGGCGCGGGCGGCGCGCGCGGCGCGGGCGGCGGCGGCCGCGGCGCCGGCAGGTCG